TAGATTTAAGTTAAAACACAAAACAAGCTGTGACTTATTTATTTGCTCTGTGGTTTAAGGTGTCACAGTCTTCGTCTGCACCATCGTGTCTGCGTCATCAGCACTACACTTCCCAGAATCCTTTCGTCTGCACACCTGAACTCACTCCCTCATCAGCCTCCCGTTCAGCGTCCTGTTCATCTGTATCACCTGTCTTCACCTCATTATGTCTGATTCTTCCATGTATTTAGTTCCCTCTGTTTCATTCTGTGGTTGTCGGTCAATGTTGAATGTTACCCTGTGTTCCACCTGCCTGTATCCTGTTTGTTTACGATTAAACCTTTTGTATTGGAGCTTTTGGACTCTGCCTGTTCGTCTGCCTGCACCCATCCCGTGACAGATTGACCGACCCCAAAGAATCATGGACGCCGTGACTTTTCTGGGGATCCTCCACCCAATTCGGCGGCCCCGTTTGGTTCTTGTCCCCAGAAAGCCGGCGCTCCACGTCAGCCCTGCAAAGCTCGAGCTCTCCTCTCCGCTGGTTCCGTCCAGCCCTGCAAAGCTCGAGCTCTCCTCTCCGCTGGTTCCGTCCAGCCCCGCCGAGCTCGAGCTCTCCTCTCCGCTGGTTCCGTCCAGCCTCGCCGAGCCCAAGCTCTCCTCTCCGCTGGTTCCGTCCAGCCTCGCCGTGCCCGAGCTCTCTTCTCCGCTGGTTCCGTCCAGCCTCGCCGAGCTCTCCTCTCCGCTGGTTCCGTCCAGCCTCGCCGTGCCCGAGCTCTCCTCTCCGCTGGTTCCGTCCAGCCTCGCCGAGCCGAGCTCTCTTCTCCGCTGGTTCCGTCCAGCCTCGCCGAGCCCAAGCTCTCCTCTTCGCTGGTACCGTCCAGCCTCGCCGTGCCCGAGCTCTCTTCTCCGCTGGTTCCGTCCAGCCTCGCCGTGCCCGAGCTCTCCTCTCCGCTGGTTCCGTCCAGCCTCGCCGTGCCCGAGCTCGACTCTCCGCTGGTTCCGTCCAGCCCTGCAAAGCTCGAGCTCTCCTCTCCGCTGGTTCCGTCCAGCCCCGCCGAGCTCGAGCTCTCCTCTCCGCTGGTTCCGTCCAGCCTCGCCGAGCCCAAGCTCTCCTCTCCGCTGGTTCCGTCCAGCCTCGCCGTGCCCGAGCTCTCTTCTCCGCTGGTTCCGTCCAGCCTCGCCGAGCTCTCCTCTCCGCTGGTTCCGTCCAGCCTCGCCGTGCCCGAGCTCTCCTCTCCGCTGGTTCCGTCCAGCCTCGCCGAGCCCGAGCTCTCTTCTCCGCTGGTTCCGTCCAGCCTCGCCGAGCCCAAGCTCTCCTCTTCGCTGGTACCGTCCAGCCTCGCCGTGCCCGAGCTCTCTTCTCCGCTGGTTCCGTCCAGCCTCGCCGTGCCGAGCTCTCCTCTCCGCTGGTTCCGTCCAGCCTCGCCGTGCCCGAGCTCGACTCTCCGCTGGTTCCGTCCAGCCTCGCCGAGCTCTCCTCTCCGCTGGTTCCGTCCAGCCTCGCCGTGCCCGAGCTCTCCTCTCCGCTGGTTCCGTCCAGCCTCGCCGTGCCCGAGCTCGACTCTCCGCTGGTTCCGTCCAGCCTCGCCGAGCTCTCCTCTCCGCTGGTTCCGTCCAGCCTCGCCGAGCCCGAGCTCTCTTCTCCGCTGGTTCCGTCCAGCCTCGCCGTGCCCGAGCTCTCTTCTCCGCTGGTTCCGTCCAGCCTCGCCGAGCCTGAGCTCTCTTCTCCGCTGGTTCCGTCCAGCCTCGCCGAGCCCAAGCTCTCCTCTTCGCTGGTTCCGACCAGCCCCGTCCAGACTGCCCCTGAGACCGTCCAGCCAGCGCCAGAGACCGTCCAGCCAGCCCCAGAGACCGTCCAGCCAGCGCCAGAGACCGTCCAGCCAGCCCAGAGACCGTCCAGCCCGCTCCAGAGACCGTCCAGCCAGCGCCAGAGACCGTCCAGCCAGCCCCAGAGACCGTCCAGCCAGCGCCAGAGATCTTCCAGCCTGCCCCAGAGACCAGGATCCCACCCAGCCTCCCTCTCCCGCCTCCTCTCATCCGTCCTCCCTCTGCTCTCCTGCCCTTCACCTCCCCGAAACCAGCCTGGTCTGTGTATCCCCGGTTTTCGCCTCCCACCTCCTCCACAGAGACACTTCTTCGGCCCCCGGTCCCATCGGCTCCCCCGTGGCTTCTACCTCCCTCAGCTCCTCCATGGCCCCTCAGTCCACCAGCTCGACCAGGCTCCCTCGGTCCTCCGGACTCCCTTCACTCCCTCGTCATCCTCCCCTCACCTTGGGACTTCCTTCCTCTGGCTCCGCCCCGTCATGTCACCCCCCCAGTTCTGTCGGACTCCTCACTCCCTCCAGTCACCCGTCAGCCCTCACTCCCTCTGACCTCACCGTGTCCCTTTGTGCCCCTGTCGTCACTTCCGTCACCTGAGCCTGCGGTGTCACCATGGTCCCTCGGTCCCTCCTCAGCACCATATGTCGTCTGTCCCTCAGCTGCACCCTGGTCTCCTCTCCCATCTGCTCCGCCCCTGTCAGTCGGCCCCCTGGTGTCGTCAGCCCCAGTCCCATCGGCTTCACCAGGGGTCCTCCCTCCATCTGCTCCGCCCTGGTCTCGCCCTCAGCCTGCTCCGCCCTGGTCTCGCCCTCAGCCTGCTGCGCCCTGGTCTCGCCCTCAGCCTGCTCCGCCCTGGCCACGCCCTCAGCCTGCTCCACCCTGGCCACGCCCTCAGCCTGCTCCGCCCTGGCCACGCCCTCAGCCTGCTCCGCCCTGGTCTCGCCCTCAGCCTGCTCCGCCCTGGCCACGCCCTCTGCCTGCTCCGCCCTGGCCACCCCCCGCTCAGCCCCCAGTTCGCCCCCCCTCCTTCCTCTGTTCTGCGGCGTGAGGTCACGCCTCCCGGGAGGGGGGAGTTCTGTCACAGTCTTCGTCTGCACCATCCTGTCTGCGTCATCAGCACTACACTTCCCAGAATCCTTTCGTCTGCACACCTGAACTCACTCCCTCATCAGCCTCCCGTTCAGCGTCCTGTTCATCTGTATCACCTGTCTTCACCTCATTATGTCTGATTCTTCCATGTATTTAGTTCCCTCTGTTTCATTCTGTGGTTGTCGGTCAATGTTGAATGTTACCCTGTGTTCCACCTGCCTGTATCCTGTTTGTTTACGATTAAACCTTTTGTATTGGAGCTTTTGGACTCTGCCTGTTCGTCTGCCTGCACCCACCCCGTGACATAAGGGGTGTTTAAAAAGGACTTTTTGTTTGTATCAATTAGCTCATCTTCAAAGTCCACATATAGTTTTAGAAGTTTAAATAGGCAGAGTAAATTGCATTAAAATGGCACAAATGTCAAAAGTTATATTCTGAAGAAGCATCTTGACTATTTATGATTTTGAGTCTTAACTGTTTGATTTTAAAAACGTATTAATGTATGCTGAATCAAAGCCAACATTTCAATACTTTCATCAAGGCCTTGGACATGAATACTGTCTGGGTTGAAAAACACTTTTTTGCACATTTTCATACATCACAAGGCATCCTAATGAAATTATTCAGTCATCAGGCCACTCTCTGTGTTACCTGTGTTTGCTTTACTTATTTAAGTCCCCTCTTGTGGTTAAATAAAAATACTCCTGGCAAAGAACAAACTAAGAAATTCAAATTCCAGTATCTCTAACAAATTATATCTAAGCTAAATAATAACATAAACTAAGCATGTAAAGAACAACAAATATTTTGTTTTTTTCCTCACAAACTCAGTTTTTCTTTTGCTTTTACAGATACACTTTTTAATAAAGTCCTATATTTAAGCATTTTGGTTTGTCCTGTTGGATATCTGTGTTTTCATGTAATCACAAGATGGTGCCTCAATTAGTAAAGCAAACTCAGGTAACAATACAGGTGACACAGATGATGAGCTGACGACTGATACATGCTATTCTATAGGATGAGTTAAGAGCAGTTTAATTTTGCTAATCTAATCTAACTTGTGAAGTGACAAGGACTTAAATCCACTACAAGAAAATAGCTCTTAGAAAATATTTACCCTATCCTGACCATAATTACTGATTAAAAATAGACATGTTAAAATAACCAGAGATACTTGAGGACTGTCTGTGATTGGTGGTTAGGATTGTTTTTAACAGGATAGACTCCTTTATTTGACAGTTATGAGACAGGAAATCATGGGAGAGAGAGAGGATGTGACATGCAGCAAAGGACTGGGATTTGAACCATGGTCGGCTCGGCTGCGTACGTATACGCATTTAACTTCGCTATGCCATGGCCACCCCACTCTAGCTTGGTGTCCCATCTTGGCCACCCCCCAAAAAATGTCCTGGATACGCCACTGCGTTTGAACTGACGCGCTACTGCGATCTGTCACATTTAAAAGCGCCAAAGCGTTCCATATCAAGAGTAAACTTCTCTGTCTAGTCTGTGTCATCTTTTTCCGCGATTTTTCTCTGCGTGAGAAAATACAGTGGTTCAATCAGTAGTTGAGCCTGAACTTGCTTATAGTAATACAAAAAAAAAAATAAAGCACAGAAGAATTTCTAATTTAGCGTGAGATTTCTTTGTTGAGCGTGAGACCGTGAGATTGAGGCTGAATGCGTGAGTGTCACGCCAGATGCGTGAGAGTTGGCAACCCTGCTGCATTAATAACTGCATAAAGCCGGGACACATGTTATGAATGTAATTTGATACTCATGACTGATCATGCCCAAACGCGTGTTCAGCGCGTTCAATCTGTGTTCACAGTTGGTGTTTAAGACCTGCTACAGTCGATGGAAACAGTCGGTCTTCGGATATTTCAGCGAATTGTAAGTGTGTCCCCCATCATTAGTCTGCTATCAGTGGCTCAAACCTCCGGTACTACTTCTAAAATAACGGTTTGCGTTATTTTTCTAATAATTCAACGGCCTGTAGTCAATTATTCCTTACATGATGTACCTGTATATATATAATAACTTAATGTGACAATAAGTCAAATAATTTACTGAATGGAAATGAATCTTTGTACTTAATATGCAAAGTGATACCTCTTTGCTCTGTCTCCTCTTCTACTTCCTGTCCCTCTGGTGTGTGTATGTCTGCATCGTGCACTGCAGGAAATCAAATTAAATGTAAACAGCATTTAATTCAATGTGACTATCCCTTGCACATTTTCAAAGAAAAATGTAAAACTACAAAATCTTACTTTTTATGTCAAAATGTACTGTATTATTAATATTAAATAAACAATTATAGTTGTTCTTTAGTCATGTAAAGTGTCTTACTGATAGAATGAATTATTTCCATCCAGGTGAGTTGATCTACAAGTAATATGACATGTATATTCCATTAGAGAAAGTCTGACCTATATCTCAAAGATATATCTTGAGATATTAGAGATCATTCATAACTATATATATATAGAGAGATACATACATACATACATACACACACACACACACACATATATATATATATATATATATATATATATATATATATATATATAATATCTAAAGAGTAATGTGGGGGAAGATTTAAATTATTATACATATCAAACTTACCAAATAAAAACAGTGTGTTTTTATTTCTGTCATCATCCATATCATCGTCATCACATACAAACAGTATCTGTTGAGTTGACTGTGGGAGTATCTGTTGAGTTGACTGTGGGAGTATCTGTTGAGTTATCTGTTGAGTTGACTGTGGGAATATCTGTTGAGTTATCTGTTGAGTTGACTGTGGGAGTATCTGTTGAGTTATCTGTTGAGTTGACTGTGGGAGTATCTGTTGAGTTATCTGTTGAGTTGACTGTGGGAGTATCTGTTGAGGTGACAGTCGGATTATCTGCTGAGGTGACAGTGGGAGTATCTGTTGAGGTGACAGTCGGATTATCTGCTGAGGTGACAGTGGGAGTATCTGTTGAGGTGACTGTTGAAATGACCTTTGAAGTGACCTTTGAAGTGACTCTATATGTAACTCTAGACGTGACTCTAGACGTGACCTTTTCCGTGACTGTTGAATTGACAGTTGAACTGACTGAACAAATGCCTGTAGAAGTACCAGTAGATCCGACAATTCAAGTGACTGTCGAAATGACAGTCGACGTGACTGTTGAATTGACTGAACAAGTGACTGAAGTGAATGCTGAAGTGAAAGATCCAGTAAATATTCAAGTTCCTGAAGCGACTGAAGTGAGTGTTGAATTGATTTAATTGACTGCCGAAGAAACTGAAGTGACTGTTGAAGTGACAGTAGATGTGACCCTTCCTCAAGCGATTGTTGGAGTGACTTCAAAACTTGATCTTTTTTTTTGTGCTCCTTAATGGAATTTTCTATCCATTTCAACTCACGGTCATCAATCAAATAGAATCTATCTAGTGATGGAGCTAGAGGGATTGAAATAGTGATAGATATAGAGATTACTCCAAATCCTCTATGGTAACAATTCAGACTCTCCTCTAAATGTGTGGTAAATGTCATAACTTTCCTAAGAAGTCTTTGGATTATATATATATATATATATATATATGCATACACACTGTATATATATATATATGTGTGTGTGTGTGTGCAGTGTTGGGGAGTAGTTAACTACAAGTAGCGATGCTTCTAACTTAACTACATTTTTCATTAGCTCAGTTGCTTTTTGAACAGTGTAGCTTTTCCAGTAGCTAATTACTTTTTGCAGCAAGTAGTGGTGTAGCGCGAGCAAACGCTACATTGCGTTTCTCGAGCCTGCACTAATCAGCGGGATGCAAGGATATTCTTCTTCTTGTTAGATTACAAACTCATTTTTTGCCATTACAGCCACCTTTTGTTTAATTACGCATCTTGCGGCTAACGGTTTACTGACGTACAGAAATGTGTTGACACACCCATATTATGATTATCTATCTATAAATTACAGGAACGTCTGTCTGTGTGTGTGTGTGACTGTTAATTGCATATCTCTCGAACCGTTAGTCCGATGGATCTCAAACTTGACAAGTGTCTTGCAACAGGCATGAGTAAGTGCAGTGCCGAGTTTGACGTTGTTTGGATTAGAAATGCAAAAGATATCGCTAAATATATCGCTAAAAAAGCACACATTGGCTTTTGCCGCTCTAGCCACTGGCCACTCCCCGTCTCACACTGCAAACTGATGAGCACAGCGCAGGACCAGAGACAGAGGGACAAAGAAAGCAGATTTGCTCCCTGAATCATCGCGCTTATTCATTTGAGCACTCGAACACACCAAACCAACAATTGCTAAAAACACACGGGCACACGGGCATTATTTTGCATGGGCATTTTGCACTAGTATAGCAAAACGTGACGACAGATTTGGAGGATGGAGAAACAACTAACGTTAATTACCTATGGCCTTATTTGTCCAAGTTCAATCTGTATTTTTGAGAAAATGTTCTACATGCAATATACGTTGGATGTATATTTTGTTCTTGGAATGTTGTAGGTTATTTGTTGCAATTTTGCACGTTTGACAAACAGTCTGAGATATCAGAGTGTTGTGTGTATTAAAACAATACTCTTTGAAATCATATTTGTATTGCATTGTTTTAAACACTAAATATTTTACTTAAAACATTCCTCAGACACTTATTCAGTTATTTATAATATACGTAGTTCAAAAAGCAAAAGTAGGTTCAATGTAGCTAGATACTTTTTGATAGTAACTTGTAGTGTAGCTAACTACTTTTCTAAAATATTAGCTTGACTGTAGTTTAACTACTTTAACTTACGAGTAGCTTGTAGCTTGTCAAACTACAGTTTCAGAGTAGCGTCCCCAACACTGTGTATATGTGTGTGTGTGTGTGTGTGTGTGTGTGTGTGTGTGTGTGTGTGTGTGTGTGTGTGTGTGTAAAAAACTTGATCTGTTTTTTTGTGCTCCTTACTGATAATGTCCATCCATTCACGCTCAAGGTCATCACTCATTCGAGGGATTTCAAATAGTGATGGAGCTAGAGGGCCTGAAATAGTGAAAGATATAGACTTTACTCCAAATCTGCTATGGTAACAATTCAGGCTCTCCTCTAAATGTGTGCTAAATGTCATAACTTTCTTAAGAAGACTTTTGATTAAATACATATATGTGTGTAAATATAATATATAATACAAATAAATATTATATATACATATATATATATATATATATATATATATATATATATATATAGTATGTGTGTGTGTGTGTGTGTAAAACCTTTTTTTTGTTGTTTTTTTTGCTCCTTACTGTAAATGTCCATCCATTTACACACACGGTCATCATGCATCAAAGGGATTTCATCAGGCATCAAAGCTAGAGGGATTGAAAAAGTGAAAGATATAAAGATTACTTCAAATCTGCTATGGTAACAATTCAGACTCTCCTCTAAATGTGTGCTAAATGTCATAACTTTCCTAAGAAGACTTTGAATAAATAAATTAAATACATACGTGTGTGTGTGTGTGTGTGTGTGTGTGTGTGTGTGTGTGTGTGTGTGTGTGTGTGTGTGTGTGTGTGTGTAAAACTTGATCTGTTTTTTTTTGTGCTCCTTATTGTAAATGTCCATCGATGTACACTCACGGTCATCACTCATCAAAGGGATTTCAACTAGTGATGGAGCTAGAGGGATTGAAAAAGTGAAAGATATAAAGATTACTTCAAATCTGCTATGGTAACAATTCAGACTCTCCTCTAAATGTGTGCTCAATGTCATAACTTTCCTAAGAAGACTTTAAAATTAATTACATGTGTGTGTACACACACACACACACTCACATATATATATATATATATATATATATATATATATATATACATACGTGTGTGTGTGTATATATTAGTGCTGTAAAACGATTAAAATGTTTAATCGCAATTAATCACATTAATGTCATAGTTAACTCGAGATTAATTGCACATTTTTATCTATTCTAAATGTCTCTTGATTTCTTTTTGTTACATTATTTTTTTCCTCATTTTAATGCTCTTATCAATATGGAAAAGTGGAAAAATTATTATTGAAAATAACATTGGAATAGTTTTCAATTTCACACTAACACATAGCCTATAAATAATCTCTCACACAATGTAACACTGTCTATCAATAAAAGGGTGAAAGAAATACTGACGAGGCCCTAATATTGGCAAGGGGGTGGAGAATTCGCTGAATTCAGACTGGACGTGCAGCGATGATGATAGCTCAGTTCACAACGACAAAACACAGATCACTCGGTCTTGTCAATGGGACGATATGGCAACTTTTTAAAAGTAAACTTTCCATTCAGAATTTTAGGGCATCTATTTCGGCGTCTCGTGCTCGTCATCCACTCAAAAGTAATGTTACTATTTGGCCGGCTCGCAAGCCGAAACGAGTGTGTGCGGCACAAAACGTCCTCGCGCTGCGCTCTGTAACCCTTTCATTTCAATGGCTTGTGCCGCGCGAGGACGTTTTGTTGCTTCTTTGACCAAAGCGCAAGCGGATCAAGACCATAAACAAAACAACAGGCACGCCGCAAACACACGTTTGGGCTTGCGAGCCGGCTTTGAGTGGATAACGAGCGCGAGACGCCGAAATAGATCATGAAATGCCGCGTCCTGTTGCAAAAGCATGTGAAAAAACTACAAAGTTTGCTAGGACAAAAAGACCGTTAATCGCACGATAAAAAAATTAACGTCGTTAAAATGGATTTGCAATAACGCGTTAAACTGACAGCCCTAATATATATATATATATATATATATATATATATATATATATATATGAAGAGTTCAGATGCAAAAGCCTCTAAATGCAATTTGAAATTTTCTTCTTTAATGATGATTTTTTATCAAACTTGTACAAACCCAATTCCATAAAAGTTGGGACACTGTACAAATTGTGAATAAAAACAGAATGCAATGATGTGGAAGTTTCAAATTTCAATATTATATTTAGAATACAACATAGATGACATATCAAATGTTTAAACTGAGAAAATGCATAATTTTAAGGGGAAAATAAGTTGATTTTAAATTTCATGGCATCAACACATCTCAAAAAAGTTGGGACAAGGCCATTTTTACCACTGTGTGGCATCCCCTCTTCTTTTAATAACAGTCTGCAAACGTCTGGGGACTGAGGAGACAAGTTGCTCAAGTTTAGGAATAGAAAAGTTGTCCCATTCTTGTCTAATAAAGGCTTCTAGCTGCTCAACTGTCTTAGGTCTTCTTTGTTGCATCTTCCTCTTTATGATGCGCCAAATGTTTTCTATGGGTGAAAGATCTGGACTGCAGGCTGGCCATTTCAGTACCCGGATCCTTCTTCTACGCAGCCATGATGTTGTAATTGATGCAGTATGTGGTTTGGCATTGTCTTGTTGGAAAATACAAGGTCTTCCCTGAAAGAGACGATGTCTGGATGGGAGCATATGTTGTTCTAAAACTTGGATATACCTTTCAGCATTGATGGTGCCTTTCCAGATGTGTAAGCTGCCCATGCCACACGCACTCATGCAACCCCATACCATCAGAGATGCAGGATTCTGAACTGAGCGCTGATAACAACTTGGGTTGTCCTTGTCCTCTTTAGTCCGGATGACATGGCGTCCCAGTTTTCCAAAAAGAACTTCAAATTTTGATTCGTCTGACCACAGAACAGTTTTCCACTTTGCTAGAGTCCACTTTAAATGAGCCTTGGCCCAGAGAAAACGCCTGCGCTTCTGGTTCCCGTTTAGATATGGCTTCTTTTTTGACCTATAGAGTTTTAGCCGGCAACGGTGAATGGCACGGTGGATTGTGTTCACTGACAATGTTTTCTGGAAGTATTCTTGAGCCCATGTTGTGATTTCCATTACAGTAGCATTCCTGTGTGTGATGCAGTGCCGTCTAAGGGCCCGAAGATCACGGGCATTCAGTATGGTTTTCCGGCCTTGACCCTTATGCACAGAGATTGTTCCAGATTCTCTGAATCTTTGGATGATATTATGCACTGTTGATGATGATAACTTCAAACTCTTTGCAATTTTTCTCTGAGAAACGCCTATCTGATATTGCTCCACTATTTTTTGCCTCAGCATTGGGGGAATTGGTGATCCTCTGCCCATCTTGACTTCTGAGAGACACTGCCACTCTGAGAGGCTCTTTTTATACCCAATCATGTTGCCAATTGACCTAATAAGTTGCAAATTGGTCCTCCAGCTATTCCTTATATGTACATTTAACTTTTCTGGCCTCTTATTGCTACCTGTCCCAACTTTTTTGGAATTTGTAGCTCTCATGAAATCCAAAAGGAGCCAATATTTGGCATGGCAATTCAAAATGTCGCACTTTCAACATTTGATATGTCATTTATATTCTATTGTGAATAAAATATAAGTTTATGAGATTTCTAAATTATTCCATTCTTTTTTTACTCACAATTTGTACAGTGTCCCAACTTTTTTGGAATTGGGTTTGTATATTTAAGTTCAGTAATTTCACTTAAATAACAATTAATAGGTAATTATCATTGCCATTTAAGTGAAATTACTGAACTTAAATATACAAGTTTGATAAAAATCATCATTAAAGAAGAAAATTTCAAATGGCATTTAGAGGCTTTTGCATCTGAACTCTTCATATATATATATATATATATATACACACTCACCTAAAGGATTATTAGGAACACTTGTTCAAATTGTCATTAATGCAATTATCTAATCAACCAATCACATGGCAGCTGCTTCAATGCATTTAGGGGTATGGTCCTGGTCAAGACAATCTTCTGAACTCCAAACTGAATGTCAGAATGGGAAAGAAAGGTGATTTAAGTAATTTTGAGGATGGCATGGTTGTTGGTGCCAGACGGGTTACTGGGATTTTCACGCACAATCATTTCTAGGGTTTACAAAGAATGGTGTGAAAAGGGAAAAACATCCAGTATGTGGCAGTCCTGTGGGCGAAAGTGCCTTGTTGATGCTAGAGGTCAGAGGAGAATGGGCCGACTAATTCAAGCTAGAGCAACTTTGACTGAAATAACCACTCGTTACAACCGAGGTATGCAGCAAAGCATTTGTGAAGAAGACACAACACACACAACCTTGAGGCGGATGGGCTACAACAGCAGAAGGCCCCACCGGGTACCACTCATCTCCACTAAAAATAGGAAAAAGAGGCCACAATTTGCAAGAGCTCACCAAAACTGGACAGTTGAAGACTGGAAAAATGTTGCCTGGTCTGATGAGTCTCGATTTCTGTTGAACATTCAGATGGTAGAGTCAGAATTTGGCGTAAACAGAATGAGAACATGGATCCATAATGCCTTGTTACCACTGTGCAGGCTGCTGGTGGTGGTGTAATGGTTTGGGGGATGTTTTCTTGGCACACTTCAGGCCCTTTAGTGCCAATTGGGCATCGTTTAAATGCCACGGCCTACCTGAGCATTGTGTCTGACCATCTCCATTCCTTTATGGCCACCATGTCCCCATCCTCTGATGGCTACTTTCAGCAGGATAATGCACCATGTCACAAAGCTCCAATCATTTCAAATTGGTTTCTTGAACATGACAATGAGTTCACTGTACTAAAATGGCCCCCACAGTCACCAGATCTCAACCCAATAGAGCATCTTTGGGATGTGGTGGAATCTAAATCTCCATCAACTGCAATATGCTATCCTATCAATATGGGCCAACATTTCTAAAGAATGCTTTCAGCACCTTGTTGAATCAATGCCACGTAGAATTAAGGCAGTTCTGAAGGCGAAACACAGTATTAGAATAATGTACCTGATAATCCTTTAGGTGAGTGTATATTTACACACATATTCAGAGTTGCAATCAAAATTATTAAACCCCCTTGACCTGCAAGACATTTTGCCGCTGAGAAAAAAATCCATGAAAACAATTCAACAAAGATCAGTAAACTATAGAAAATGTATTAATATACATTTGAGAGATTCTGAGAATGAAAAGTTGATGAAAGAGGGGGAAAAATCTAATTAGCTCTAAACATTCATGTACAGAATTATTCAAAAGTCAGAATTTGTGTTGAATCTTAGAGGATGTTTAGAAGCTTAAAAGCTACTGCAACATCTCTACTGCAATCTTGGCCAATTCTACTCTTGAAAAAGCTTCCAGATAACTAATAATCTCTGGTTTTCACATTACCACTGCTTCTTCAAATTCCACCAAATATTTTAAATGAGATTGAGGACACATCCACACGAAGCCAGAGCTTTCCCTATCCAATGTTTTTTTTCCCTAAAACAAATTTATCCGTAAACACGGTATCGTCTCAAAGAAATATCTGCGTACACACACAACCACTGAAACCAACTCAAAACGATGTAGTATACACCCCAGACGAGCATGTGGCGCTGTAATTCAGCCAAAGAGATACAATCAAAATGGAGTTGACTTAGACTAGAGGATGCACATAAAACTTGTGCGCTGTATACAATAATATTAGGCACAGTAGCTTCTTCTTTTCTTTTTTACCAAGAACTTTATTGAACACCATAAATGGCCTGGTACAAAATAGGGATGAGTCACTCGAAGTTGAGATATGCGATTAGTTAGCGGACTCATAAAGCTTGCCACAAAGAACCGGCAAAAGTAACGAATGTGTCAAATATAGCAAGGAGACATTTTAATTGTTTATTA